AGAGAGAGAGAGAGAGAGAGAGAGAGAGAGAGCAACAATCAATGGTCAAAGTTCCCATCCCATATATATATATATATATATATATATATATATATATATATATATATATATATATATATATATATATATATATATATATATATGTACATATATATATATATATATATATATATATATATATATATATATATATATATATATATGTATCTATATAAATATCTATATATATATAAATATATATTTATATGTATATATAAATATATATATATATATATATATATATATATATATATATATATATATATATATATATATATATAAATATATATATATATAAATATATATGTATATATATATATATATATATATATATATATATATATATATATATAATATATATATATATATATATATATATATATATATATATATACATATATATATATATATATATATATACATATATATATATATATATATATATATATATATATATATATATATATATATACATATACATATACATACATATATATATGTATCTATATAAATATATATATATAAATATATATTTATATATATATATACATATATATATATATATATATATATATATATATATATATATATATATATATATATATATATATATATATACATATGTATATATATATATATATATATATATATATATATATATATACATATATATATATATATATATATATATATACATATATATATATATATATATGTATATATATAAATATATATATATATATATATATATATATATATATATATATATATATATATATATATATATATGTATATATATATGTATATATAATATATATATATATATATATGTATGTATATATATATATATATATATATATATATATATATATATATATATATATATATATATATAGATAGATATAGATATAGATATATATATATATACACGTATGTATGTATGTATGTACACACACACACGTATATATACCTGTCTATCTAGCTATATATTTATATCTATATCTAGCTATCTATATGTGTGTGTAGAGAAAAAAACAGACAGATAGACAGACAGAAAGTATGATTATTTTTGCAACACTCCCAAGGAGCAGCACGACCAACTGGAAAGGGTATCTAATCAACCCTTTGATAAATCGTTGCCATAAAGGTGCCCTATGTCTATGCCTTGCATTTCCTCCGACCAATGCTAAAGGGTACAATGCTTTCCGCTCTTAGGAGAATTGTGGGCAGCTTATCTCTCTCTTTTTCGGCACCTCCTTATTTGTTATCTTCCTAAATCCGAACCATTATCATGTATGTATATCGGTATCATTATTTCTAACCAAGTGTGCCTACAGAAGTGTCACCAAAAATCAGACACGTGTTTCCGTGAGCCGTTTGCGCAGTCGATGGTCCGCGATTTTTTTTTAAGATAAGGTCTTTCGAAGTGTGTGTACGTGTATACATTCATACATACAATGTGTTTGTGTGCGTTTGCGCGGGTGTGTGTGTGAATACCAATACATTAACCCGGAAACATGAAGCGGTTATCAAACGGTGATCAAAATCCTCAAAAGGGGAAGGGATCAGTGTTTACTGCATGAGTAACTGTGCTTGCGCGGGTTCAGTGCTTAGGCGCGCGCGTGCAAAAACTTGCTCGTGTCTGTCGTTCGAGGAATCACGTGACGTCATTTCATTCATTGGTGCTGGACTTTCCAGCGGGTCTAATCTTTAATAATTACAAAGAGACTTCTATAGTGTATATATAAGATAAAATTTGCTTTCTAACTAACAAAAGCTAACCTGACTGCATGTACGGTTTGGCATCAAATGATGTATTCGTGACGTCGCGTGCAAAGATCGGCGACTCCCTGTGCGAAAGCCTTGTCGGAGGCGACCTTCGTGACGAGCCGCGCTGTCTCCTCGAGGCCTGGGACGGCGTCCATGTGGAGCTTTTTGTGCGGAGAAACTCGGAGCTGGCCATCCTGGCGCTCAGGGTGAGGGCCCTTGTCTCTAGGGCTCTCTGAGCGGGGTTTCTGGGCTGCTTTTGGCGCCTCGTCTGGGGACTCGCTAGTCAAAGGGCGTTCCGGGAGCGCCTGAGGAACTCTTGGGGAGGTCCGCGTCACGGAACTGGGAGTATCTTGCCTATGTGGGTCTTCGCGCTGGGGCAGAGCAAGGGCCAGCCGCGGCGGAGGGGGGTTTCGGAGGGCCGTGGGGCGTGGCAGAAAAGAATTCAGGCCGGGCGGGAGGTAGGAATATGGAGGATCTACAGCAAGCGTCGAGCGACACAGGGACCCTTCCTGCGTCGGCGGGAGGAGCGGCAAGGAGAGGTCTGACGCCGGTGACTCATGAAAGAGAGAAGGAATCGGGGCAGGAGCGGGGAATGACGTAGGCGGATAAAGGACAGGGGGCGGAGGCCGCGGCACAGCCAGATCCAGGACGGTTGGTGAATGTCGCGAAGGCAGATCTGTGTCAAATACCGCGCGTGACAGAACGGCGCGGGAGGCGAAGGGAGCGCCGCGCCCGCCCTCCGTTCCTCCAGGCGTCGCTGCGACGGCCGGAGCGGCATTTTCTGGAAAGGGAAATGAGTGCAATGAGTTTGAACGTTAAACACAAAAGGAAAACATATAATCAACTAAAGGAGATTCAATCCAATATAATACATTTTTAATCTAAAGATATTTAAACCGGAAAAATAAACACGAAGCTCACCTGCAAACACGTGAGCCAAGTGCACCGCACCTTCGCGCGTGGGCACAACGGGCGTCCACGTGTCCAGATAACTATGGATGACGCTGAAAGACTGAGACACGCCCATGCCCTCGCCTTCCCTGGGGGGCGGATGGGCGCGAGAGAGAAAATGCGTGAACGGCAGAGCAGGCTTCGGAAGCGGGCCCAAGGGGGATGGCGAGGAAGGGGCCTGCGCGGTCGGAAGGAAAGATAATGATGACGGCGCCGAGGCCGAAGAAGATGATGACGTGAGCGAGGCAGTCACGGCCTGAGACGACCCCTCCTCCTGTGGGGCGACCGCTACACCGCCAGGATCGCGGATGACGTCAGTCCGTGAGAAATTTCCGACCTCGCCCTCCAT